TAGATAGATAGATAGATAGATAGATAGATAGATAGATAGATAGATAGATAGATAGATAGATAGATAGATAGAAAAAACAGTACAGCATGGTTAGAACTAAGTCTTTGCCTACTTCCACGCCACTCAAGAAATGAGACTTCCGAGAACAAATGCTCTTTAAAAGGGCAGCGAGGTGAATTCAATTCCTTCACTGGATATTCGTGGTTTGGTTTTTTTCCCCCCATCGGCTTATGATAGACGTAGGACAAGTACGATCTTCTGTATTAGATTTAAGTTTAACAGAGTCCATCTGACAAAACTGTTTTCGTGTTAAAGCAGGAATGTTCAAAGCATGAGTAATTTTTTTAAAAAAACACAGCGGTCCACTTTGCAATTATTTGTTTTCTGACCATAAAAGTAACACCAGTCCAATTAAAACAGGTGTTTACTGATCGTGTGTGTGTGTGTGTGGGGGGGGTGATACGTTGCTTTGTGTGTGTGTGTGTGTGTGTGCTTTTTGGGTTTTGATGGTCTTTTGGATTTATTTATTATTGCTTTGTTTGAAGTTGTACGTCGCTCAGAGTCATTTGAGACTGGGGCGGGATAGGAGTACTGTAAAATAAATAAATAAAAACTTTCTAGTGTGCTCTACGTGTCTGCGCTTTTGACATTCCTATCCTTTTTGCAGGAAAGGGGAAGATAGGCTGAGAATAAATCCCGTAGAAAGCCAGTAGAGTTTACTGGCCAGGAAACGCGCAAACGGATGGAATTAATAGCCTCTTCATTCTCGGTAATTGTATATAAAATGTACTTTGGAAATAAAATTTAGAAAAAGGTTTTAAACCCTTTAAAATGCCAGGGTATTATATATGGGGATAGTCAATCTCTCTAATTTGCTCCGCTTTCTGAAACATGTAACTTTCCCTCTTAGGGAGCCAGTGGCGCACGCATTTTCTGATCCAGAACAATCTACTTTTGGTGGGAAAACCACTCACTGGAAAGTTCTAGAGCTAGCGAGGGCCTAATAAAAGCGACCGAGCGTTTCACACGCCCATCCTGCTTTCCACGTATCTTAACACTTGTCCGAACCCGGCCATGTCGCCGCCGTCCGCGACCTCTCTCTCTATTCGGTAAACTGAGGGCAAACGACTTCAGCTACTCCATGACTTCACGGCGTCGCGTGACTTCAGCTACTCCGATTGCGCATGCGTATGTAAATCGAGTCCGCTCAGCGGGAGCGAGGTTTCCGACAAGGGTGGAATCCTTGTGCTCCCGCGGCTGGTTGTTGATACGTTGCCTAGCAACGGACTCCCTAGAAGTGAGTTGGTGTTAGAAACAGGCATATATTTCCCCCCTTCCCCCTCCTCCTCTTCCTCGAATCCATACAGGAGCCTACCCAGGGGCTAAACCAAGGGGTGAAGACAGTACATGCAGAGGGACGAAAATTAGAATTTTTTTGGGCGGGAAAAAAACCCCAACCTTTTTGCGTACCCAAGTAGTTTCCTTTTAAAATCCTGATCTCAAATCCCACGTGCAGCAGCCGCCGGAGAAGATGGTGGCAGAGAAAGAGGGCGTAAGCCCCCCCAAGCAGAGACCCCAGCAGCTGCAGGAGCCGCTGCGACACGCAAGAAGAACGAAGAAGCAGGTCAGCGATGGATTCACCATCAAAGCGATGATGAAAAACACCGTGGTACGTGCGACGCCGTTACAGTATAAGGCTTTCTGACCCTGTGGGTTGTCATTGAAATCGCCCGAGGGAGGAAAGGGCTGGCCGGCCGATTGCAAAGGGTGGGGAAAGGCCGGCGTGACGGCTCCGGGGGGCAGGATTTGCCTGCCAGGTCCCCGAAATGCTCCCTAAGCGAGCTTCACCCACCACCCTGTCACCAAAGTCGCACTTGAAGCAATGCCCGCTGTGTTTTCCTATCCAAGTACCTTAACGATCGATCACATCCCAAGGTTTGTCAGGTTGACTTGAGATCCAGTAGATCCCATACACCTGGGGGGGGCAGATTATAAGAAGCTATTCCTGATTGAGAGATGCTGCTCCTCTCTGACTTTTAATTAAGAGTGTCTGTTCTGGGTTTAGCTAGCTTAACAACCTGTTTGCTTTTGACCCAATTCTGCAATTTTTGTCCACTTCTGATTATTATGATTCCTGCCTGTACCGCTTTTATTGTTTTTCAATATTTCATCTGTTCCATGGAGCCCAAATCTCCCAACGTTCTAATTTTTATGAAACATTCAAAATACTCTCAAGGTTATCATAAAGTAAGCATTAAATAAAACTCTATGGCTTTACCTATATCTCTGCTGCTTCTCACTGGAACTCATACACAGAAATATAAACTACACTTTCCCAAAAGAGGCAAAGCCGTGCCTTTTTTACTTATTTTCTTAGCTTAGGAGTTTTCTTTTGTGTGTGAGAGAGAGATGATTAAAGCATTGTGATATATTAAATATGGAGAAGTGCTGTGTGATTCTATGCATAGTTATTTCAAAATAAGTCAGTGATAGATGAGGCCTATACTATACTAATACTGTGATTTTTATTCAGGAGTAAACAAGTCCTCATAGCATGTAATGAAGTTTATTCTGTAATAAGTATGCATAGCACTTCCTCTGGGATTAAAAACCATTTGTCAGCAGAAGTTTCTTCTAGATAGAACTTGTATAATATTGCAATGTTACTTATATCTCCTACCCAGCGAAAAAGTAATGTCTACTTGCATAATGCCCAGACATAATGATGCATAAGGGTTGTAAGTTTGTATATTATCATCTCTCTGCCTTTCTATTCTTCTTTTCCACAGTTTTTCAGCACTGTTTTATGCATCTGTACTTAGAAGTAAGTCTCATTACTTCTATGAGACTTCTTCCAAGGAGCAAGTTTATAAGATCACAGCCATAGTCTATGTTCATACAGCACACTTTACTCAGCTCAGTTTTGTGTTGCTTTTGAGCAACCTGCTCGCCATAAAGTAGCCACACAGGCTGAGTTTGCCCAAGACTAAAATACAGTTGGCTAGCATGGGCTTGGGGTTGTGCAAACACAGATAAGGTGCAATCTGCAAACATTCTGGTGTCTCCATCTTCACCCACACTGCTTTTCAGTCAGTACAAGCCATTCTTCTTTTATAGTTTTTGAATAGAGATCTGGATGCACTAGTATTGCCAAGCAGTATGAGAGTTCCCATATATGCATTATCAATACCAAGAGTGTCTGAGATCTTACAAGGTTCAAGATTGCAGATTATTTAGTGTAGCACTGATTTTCATGCCAACTCTTTGGGTCATTTTAGCACTGTAGCTTGTCTTAGTATGGCCCATGAGTTTAAACAAAAGTTAGTGGTTTTGAGAGCTGAACAAAACATTAAGCAATTGAGTCAAGGCTGCTGTGAGTACAATCCATGAAGAGACTACAAACTTTCAGCTACCTATTGAGGAAGCTTATGGCTGAAGTATGTGATCTGAAGATACATACAGTAATTTTAGGTGACTGAACATGATATAAAAATAAAGAAAAAGATGCCCTTGTGTTGAGTTTGACTCCTGATGGGCACAACCATGCAGTTTTCTTGGCCACAAAGGTTTCTCATTGCATTCTTCGGGGTTGGTTTTTTTACTTCCTAGTCTAACATTTAGTCCTGATATGACATAGTAGTATCCCATCCAAGTACAAACCAAACATGGTACTGCTTAGCTTTGAACCTAGACCAGATCACCTAGGTGCAACTGCCTGTTCTATTCCAGACAGACTGATGATTTAAAATCCTAGTGAAAGAGAAGCTTAAGAGCAGAGCTGCAAGCACTTCAGGGTTTAAGTAATGAAATAGAAGAGAGTTTGGAGAAACTGAAAGAAGGTTTTATAAAACTGAAAAATTGTTCCAAATACTGGAATTCTCAGATTTTCATCAGCTACATTGCTTCAGTTTTTAAAATAACTCTGAAGTAGCAATGCATTATGGATAATGAAATTTCTTACCATGTAATTGTAATAATGCATTCTCCAGTTCTTCTTGTGTACAACCATAATGTTTCAGTTATAAATTATGAGTTAAATGGATGTAACAATAAATGTAAGTGTATAGTTCAATATATAGCAATATTTTTATATTGGAAGTGGTCCATCGTGGCAAAAATGCTGTAAGAAATTTAGTAGTTTCTTCCAACAGTAATGGAGACTTTGATAAATGTGGCACTCTTGGAAGTGGCCAGCCAATAGATATCTTTAGCATGATAGCTGCAGTATATTGACCTGATAATTGCTTATTTAGGAAAATATATGTCAAATAAGATCAAGTGCTATATTATAAAAAGTATATAAGGACTAATAAACTGAAGTTGTTGCATAAAGATCCCAGGATTCTTACTTAAGTCCCAGGTTTGCTGGCTATTCTTGAATTTGAAGTTTAATAAGCTGCGAATGCACAGTATTTGATATTTTTAATTAAGACATTTCTATAGTGGTAAAGATCATTTGGACATCTAGAACTGGATGAAGAACCTGGTGTCACTTCTATAGTGATTATAGTTTTCAGAATCTCAGTTGCCAGAAAAGAACCATGAAAATGAGGTAACGTTTAATGATTACAGTTTTGATACTGTAGTTTTATTTGTCCATAAACATATACGGATAAAACACAGAGGGGAAATGTAGTTTATCTGACAAAGGTGATAAGTTGTTCAAGTACCACTAGCAGTAGTTTTCCATTGTAGGAAAGCACTCTCTAGTGTTTTGTATTACAGTAGTTAGAAGTAACACATGGAACTACTGGGAAATCAACTAGTCTAGTTAGAAAAAAAGATAGATCAGGTAATGTAATATTACCCTATAAAAGTTGTTACATTACAGGTCTGAAGCTGTTGAATTCTTTGCAAGATATTACAGTATTTCAGCCTTGTGATTATTATTCCCAATTTGGCAAGAGTTGTCTCTGATAGAAAGCATTCAGAGAATGCCAAGTTTTATTTCTACATTTATATTTTAGTCCACATAGTTTTTGAATTATTTTTCAAAAAACAGCTATAGATATATCTGAACAATGAAGCTGGGAAGGAAATAATTACTTCCTTTTCCAACTTCCAAGACTGTAAATAAACCCTATTCGATTCCATGCAAAGTGATTAAAACTTTAAACACATTTAAAGACTTTTCAACATTTCCAGTTTGCCTTGGGGCAGAAATAAGAGCAAATGGAGGAAGAAAGGTGATGATGCACCAACTCAAGTCCTTCCTTGTTCAATCCCTATCTCAGGTTTTCTACCCTGACAATAACAAGTCTGGTGGAGAAGATGGTATTAAACCTTTTATTTCAGGTTGCGCACTCAATTTGCATTCCATTTACATCTTGAAAAAATATTTCAGGATTTGTTAATTGAACACAAAAAGGTTTCTCTTCATTGCCTATGATGGTATGATGGGTAATGTTTTCCAAAGCAATATGTAGAAAAGAAGCCAAGCTAAATAATGTGCATTAGTGTTTTCCTTTTTGAGTCAAAGGCTAGAATTCTTACTTACAGAAGTGGAATAAATTATTAGATTGTCAGGCTTTGCTTTAGCTAAAAGCTTTTCCAATATGCTACTTCCCCAGCTATACTGATACCTGAAATGTTAGCCATAGTGGTGCTTGTTTTTCTCTGATGAGGGAAAGGAAAAGAGAAGAGCTTTTAAAATGAATTTAAGCAAGGCCTTGAATCAAAGGTAATAAATTCCATTATGACCCTGAATAGCAGATCTGCAGTGTAAAGGAAGCTAAAGCTTTAAGAGGCCAGTGTCTGTGGCTATAGTTTCTCTGCTATTTCCCAGATAGTTCTGGGCTTAGCATTTTAGGAAAATAATATAAAGCAAGACACATAATTTTGTTAGGAATAAGATATCTTGGATAGTTCTTAAATAGGTAAAGTTTGAATTTTAAAGAAAATACTATTCCACCATTTAAGTTTTTAAACATGAAAGCTTCTGTTTATTTAGGAACAGCTTGATTTTTCTGAAAAGCAAATATAAATCTACTTTTTCAGGATTTTGTCTGTAGACAGTGTGCATTATTTTTTGTTGTTTTCAAAATTGTCCTGTTTATATTTACAACATAGTGTTCCCAGCTATCTTTGTACTAGTTATACATATGGTACACAAAATACTACTTTGATTTATGTATCTTATGGGTGTCCACCTATGAGTGATAAACATAAGTACATGTTGATTAGTATCAATTTAGTAGCTTAGGTCATTTCTTTTAAAGGGTTCAAGCATAAAGTAATATGAGATCTTATGCATATGTTTAGAAGAACAGATTGAAGTGTTACAAAGAAATGGGGAACACTAAAATACTAAATAAGGCACAGACATCATCAAATCAGGGACATATAACTAAGTTCCTCTAAAGAGAAGGCAGCAAAATAAGCAATTTTTGTCTGGTCCAGGAGAAGATTATTTCAACATCTCTTTCCAGCTTGCTTATATAGGACAGTTGTCATCTACAGCCTGTATACTGGAATAGATCAGATAACTTCACTTTTGAGAGCAACATATTAACATTATTATGGTTGATCGCACAGACAGATGTTTAGACTGGATTTGGCAATTTTGTCCACCTCTCAAGTCCTTCCCAAGGACCTGGGAGAGGCAGATGTTTGATAATATTAAAGGTGTCATCACAGGATATAAGCTGTTCCAAGTAAAGCTGCCTTTTG